TTCATGAGTTTCGGAGAGCCTACGTAGTCTGAGAGAGGGAAATAAAAAGTCCCTAATCTTGCAGAACATCTCACTGAAGTGCTTAAATTGCCAATGTTTCTGAGTAAATAAAACACGAGCATATTTGACTGTGTGAGATGCAGGAATATTCTCGCTGGGTACGGCAATATTATTTTAATTTTTTCTACTGGGTGATAAGTAAAATGAACCTTCGCGATGTTTATATATATACAAATTCAATGGACGGGAAAAGGAAAAATTTGCAATTTCGTCAGGTCTAATTTGGATTATGGCAGTTACCCCTGGTCTAGATTGCTTGCATCTAACCATGACTTTGTTTGTGTGGTAACATGATATGAAGGAAGTTGAAATAGATAACTGCTTTACATAAGAAGAAAAGAGGTAGACTGAAAAGACTGCTTCATGCGGTAAATCATCAAGGACAGGAATTGGAAACGATGTCTTTATGATAGAGGACTTTCCGTCGATGAAATAGTTGTGAAGCAGTCTGCCTAAACTCAGATCCATTTCCGATTCGGTTGATATGTTGAACAACAATGACTTATGGAGACCGACGAAAGCAATTTTGTAGTTCGGGAATAGCATTCTAACAATTTTACATTTCTTGTCTAAAGCGGCCGCAACAGAGTTCATGAAGTTTTAAGTCATCCCCGACTCATACCCCATTTTCTCGAACGGGCCAGTCACTTGTTGAAGGTTGTCTAGTAGCGACTAAGTGTAATTTACTATGTTTTACCCTGTGTCCTTCGGCACCGGTGATTCATAGGTGTTCACCAGATGAAACGAAATTGAAAAATTATTCACCTAATTTTACTTGAAAAAGCACGGGAGAGTAGTACGAGATACGCGACAAAAGTAGACAAGCTTGTTGGTTGAATAGTGTCTCAGTGTCATAAATATAAAACCTTTCGGTGAATAAAACCATACAAATTTCCACCCTTAAATCCTAGACTAGAAGCTTCAATGGTTTTTCCCGTTGCGACTTTCATACGCGAACCAGAGTCCGTTCCTTTTACTTTGGTTGCGTCCCTTGAAATTGAAGACCCGAGTCTATCACAGAAGCCCAGGGACTGATCCCATCTGAAATTTGTGAGTTAACCTAAAAGCACTTGAATTTAATCCGAAGTGGATACAGAAGGTAAAATCCCCCAGGGAAGGGTATGCCAGCACACAGCTCAATCCATTCTGCATCCTTTTTTGCCATTCTTTCAAAACCACCAGTGGTGAGGTATCCGGTATCTATGACTCTATAAAGCTCATAAAGGAAGAAGTAATATTTTGGAGATACGTAAAAAACTGTCCAGTTACTGTCATTCAGATCCTATCTGAACAGTTGATAACTTCAGTTCTTGGTAGCTGATGCAACAGTAAGCGTCTAAGCTCTCGTGAGAGATGGACGGCCGGCAGCCCTATGTTACCGTGGAGACTTTGATTGGACTGCGAAGTGAACTGTTAAAAATATTACCTGATTTGCGATATGATTCAACGAAGTAACTTACCGCAGCAACAGTTATGTGAACCCATGGAAAGCAACTGAGAGGAAGTTTTACAATCAACGTAATGCGGAACATGTGTTGTGGACTGAATTTTACTTCCGTAAGACAAAGATTTACGTAAACAGCTGACATAAATCTTATTTCATAAGACACATTCAGTGCTAAAACTGTTTTTTTTTAATTTCCAGATACATAAGCGGGGAAAATGGGCCATGAAGACAGAGGGAATAAAATAAAAATGTATCTGTTTGCGAAGTTTCCCAGGGTTTTTCAGTTGGCAATCTTTATACATTTCATTGAAACATGTATGTCTCTGTAGGATGCATATTTTATGTATCGCCACGAGTCGATAGGTGGAGTATGGGTTTGTGTGGCACGTCGAACGAGATGCTCCTCCCAGAAATTAACTAGAAGTTTGACACAGCGTACCCGAGGCGGTAAGTGGTTAGGAATCTTTTGTAAAAACAGCAGGCATTTGTTAACTGCCACTTATAAGTGAACTTCAAAAGTAGTTGTCGTTCAAGATCAGAGGACTCCAAAATCTGTTGCTTTTTTCCAATCCCCGATCGGTGTGAATGTGCCTAAAGCGAGATATTATAGTTCCTATATTGAACAGATTTGGCAAGGTTTTTTTCAAATTTGTCCCTTTCCTGTATTCAAAGTTGCAGCCTGGCGAAAAATGTTATGTAACCAACGTCCACCTCTTCATAAGCGGAATTGTTGTGTAGTCTTACCTGCTGACAACTAGTATAATGTGGTAATAATTATACAAGTAATAATTTCATTGAGGTCATCGACCAACAAATATGAAAGAAAGTGAAATGTAAATAGACAAAACGTGCTATTTGCTCATATGCAGACGTACGTCAGAATATAAGGGGTAATATAGTTGTTCTGTAGTTGACACATTGGCCGGGCTTTTGCCTGAATAAAATTTTTCTTTCTTGGAAGCATGATGTCTATTAACTTATACATGAGACCACGAGTGATCCCTTGTTCCATTATATTATTCATTTATCTTCCCATGTTCAATCTCGTAAAACTTGAAAAACTCTTCCAAAATTACAACAAATCCTCAGTCACCTCTAAAGGTGACCTATCCGAAAGGTAGATAAACAAACTGAAATTTCGAAAGGTCTTTGGCTTACTTAGTCTGACATTTCCTAATCAAAGAGAAGATGTATTCAATCCCGCAATTTATACAACATTTTGTGGCGCAAAACATAGATCACTACCCTGCAGTTTTGTAGTATTCCTAAGGTAATAACAGAGAGGCATGCCTAGAAAAGATTTACGACTATATTGAAGTTTTCTCCACATAGATACTGCTCTTAGCATTAAAAGCACGAGGTTACTCAAACGATGTATGCAGCTTCAACCGGAATAATGAATATTGTGATCCCAATGTTTACAAATGAGTTCCTTGATGAACTGTTCTATCACCAGTCGGGATTTTGTAAATCAACTTGGGCTCAACGTAAAGCGTTTGTAGTAATTAACCAAAAATTATGCCAGACAATGAGACTAATGTAGAAGCAGTAGCAATTTTGGTACCTAACGCCGGCTTCAGATCATCCAAAATCTGTAGTGGTCTGCTTTATTTCATCTTTTTTCCAAAGCTTTTATATGCAAATGCCTAAATTGTCGCTAAAGAAAGAAATGCTCTAAAGACGACCTTTTTATTGCCGTTTTATTGAAAGTATTACCCTATTCGTATCTGCCGAGTTTTGTCCGACCACAGTTTGTTCTGATACAACATCTCATATTTGAACAATTTGAAGGAAACGTGCTCTAGTAAACGGAAAGATTTTTAAATAAATGAGCTGACGAAATATTGTATAACTCGTCATGATGCACAAACGAAGCGTTCTGATTTTCAGCACACTATTTTTCATTGAAAAAATCTCACCGATGTTTACCAAATCAGGCTCAAAATACATTAACGGGAATGTGAGTAACTGTGATGATTCTGTCCCATTCATAAGCAATTCGGGAAAACCTATTTGGACCAATCAGTGATCATTTGTTCAAAGTAAATTCCGATCCGCATCCATTCCTTTCCGTTTGCAAATAAAAACACCATTCGCTTATGACTGATCTTAGTCCAGCCATGGATATTGGTTATCTTATTACGCGTGTCTCACTCGCATGATCTGCTCCCATATCATGTGACAATGTCCGAAATTTTGTGCGCATCAGTCGCAATGCTGAAGGATCAATACTTCTATATAATAGCTTTCTGCTACTTATTTCATCCTTATACAAATACCGTATGTTGCATGCCACAGAAACAATATTTTTCGGCGCCGGCAGTTGTGCCTTCTGATTTCATTTCAGGAACTAGGTTATTACTGTCACTTGGAACAACCAGAGTATTTTCCTCTAGTGAGACCAAAATTAACTACAAGTTTTCAATCCTCGAAAAAGTATAGGGGCTTCCAAGTGCATTTCTAAAAAGGAGTTTAAGTGTTCGGCACCTTGGCAAAAATATCAGCTTTTGGTAGGATGAGCATTCTCCCATCGATGAGAAAGATCCCTTGAGGTAAGTCCTGTCTTCTTAGTTACGGTCGCGGTTCCCATTAGACAGTTTGAAAACTTCGAAACTTCAAGCTGCAAGTAGCTTAGTCTTAGTAACCCCAATCATTTTCAAGTAACTAATGAGCTACCGTTGCCGAAATTTACTCGTGGAATTTTATAATCCTCGCCGCCGAATTATTATATAAAAGTAAGTAAAATATAGTATTTGCAAGTACGAACAATAGCAACTGACTTGAGGTGACATTGGTATTCAGTGAATTGCAAAATAACGTGGTTGCCAAAGAATTCTCAAGGTGATATTTGAGGACTGATCGGTTTGTTGTATGCTAAAATCGAGAAATATGGACCCCCAGATGTGTACCAAACTTGGGAGGATAGTAGGTGTCTGAATTGGTGCCTATTTTTGGTATCTACGCAATGTTCCAACCTGTTACTTTGTACGAATTTATGGCAAAATTTTGGAGTGTAATTCGTTCAGCAAAATAGGATGGAACAACAAATAAGGGCTGATATATTTCCAGTTTGATTTCTGACGAAACAAACAACAGTGAGCTATGAAGAAGTGACTAGCCTACTTTCACATAAAATGGGTCAAGAAGCCATTAGTCATCATGTGTTTTTACGGTTCGCTGCCTGTTTTCGTGTGCAGGATTCATGCAAGCAGCAACTGGCATAAACAAGAACAGAACCACTGTCATCATTCACACGACACATTTGGAAAATCTCGTCCAAATTATGTGCACTGCATTTTGTTGAAGACCTGTATCACTTGTGTTGGTGCTCGACTTCAGTGCAATGGTGACTCATTTAAAATTTGTGCGCACAGTTACATTTGTCTTGCTAATGCTTCAATCAAAGATACAGGTTCTTATTGGCCCAACAAAACGAACCATATTTAAGAAGATAGAAATCTAATTCCGATCAAAATTCCTTGTACGATTTAGTATGAAAGTGAGTAAAATGGTACCGATGAATGATTCATGAGATGCTCGTCCCGTTTGCTGGACGATTTCCTTTTTGTCATTCGCTTTTACTGTCTTCTTTGTTTAGTATTCACTTTTGTTGGCATTGGGTACGCTACTGTTGGTCCCAGTTTGGGGTTGTTTTAAGTCCGGCGGATCTTCACAGACCAAAAATACAGAAAAGCATAAAGCAGAAATTGTACCACAAACAACCAAAGTGGAACTGGAAACCGAAGCTGAATTCACGACTGCTCAACTGACGACAGCTGAACCCACGACACTGGATTGCCCGAAAATGATTCAAAACGTGGTAAACAGCTGTTACGGCAGTGCGATAGAATTGAAGTATTGTGGTACGTTTTCTAACTCGTTTTTTTGGGCCTAGGTATTATATATATATATATATATACGGTTTGGTATTTTATTGTGTGATTTCACATGAAATGTGATTTACCCATTAAGGGCCCACAAATTTCAAAGCTATTTGAAGTAACTTTTCTATATGTGAACTTTGTGAAAGAGAATTTACTAACAGCGATCGTTGTTTGGTTGCCATCCACGTATATATCTGTGAATAAATCTGTGCTTTGGGAATAGCAATGTTGAAATAAATGATTCACTTTAACTAACATACTTTAGGTTTTATTATCCACCGATTTAATTTAACAACCGCTTTTAAATCATTTATTCAACGAAAATGAGTTATCTGACATATGATGTGGTTACCCCAACGTACAACACACGAAGAATTTCTCGTGTTGATGGAAATAAGTATTCCATTCTTTTGCTGAAAATTATTCTGGGGATAAATTCATTATAGAAACATTCTGTGTTCTTCTGCTGGTTATTTAGCCAAATCATTTAGGGAGTTTGACAATCACCATAAATCGTGATATTTCCACTATAAATATAGAATATTTTCTATTCAAAAAGCACATTTAAACAATTTTTGTGTCAATTGATATGATTCGATAAAACAGTGACTCGTTGCGATGGTGAGAAATTCAACGGATACCTAATAATCCTCGGAAGATTTTATACTCGATCTTATTTTAAGGATGGTAGAATGTTTTATAGAAAGTGAATTTCCAACGATAATTTAATCAAGTATGTAGGATGTTTGGGTTCCGGATGTTATTTATAAACCTATGAAAACTTGTTGCAATTTGCCAGTCTACTTCCTTTCGAATACTAAATACTCTTCCGTGGTTCTAGACATCAGCGTTTATTAACCTACACAGCTGTCGAATCTCAGGAAAGTCTTTTAAAGAAGACACTGTAGACAACCCTTAGAGCTTTACTTTTAGAAATTTGAAAGTTTTAGGTTTTAAACTGTTATAAAACTCTACGCCAAACAGAATCAGGCACAATTTTCGTTTCGTTTTATATATGTTCCTTCCACTGCTGATACCTTACAATAAAATGACTTATCGTCCTCCTCACAGCCGACACCACAACGATCCAAACGTGTCAAAAATGCTCTTCCTGTTTGACAAAAGCTCAGGAATGCATGCTTAACAAGTTGCAAGAACAACCGGTATTCGGCTGCCCGCAAGCTAGACAATCGGTTGCATCACTTAAACGCTTACTGCAAAAATGAACCGGAATGTTGTGACTGATTTGCAGACCACCTTCACAGTTGATCATGGGACATATCGCAAAGTTGTTAATATTCTTACATGAAACTGCACGAAATATGCCCAGCATTTTACAATTAAAAGCGTATTGAGCCATTTGTATTACAAACCTTCTTGTACTTCGTAACTTCTGGATACAGTGCATTTTTCCTAAAATCACTTTCTGCTTTTTAAATTTGACTGCGTAAAAGTCATTTTGGGACAGGTGACCTCAAAACCTCAGAATCTGGTTTTATGCCTAAATAAGCAGTTATCGATGAGTAATTGGTGACTCTACGTTGGTTAAATACCAAATCCTATTCAACCATCGTTTGGGTCTTTGATGTTGGATTGATGACAGCTAACAGAGTTTTCCGTAATTTTATCCAACCACGTCCTGTGTTAAATGTTTCTGGTGACATTTCGTAACAAAATGAGACAGTCGTAATCAATAATTACTGTGTAGCTATGAACCCAGGGCGGAATTTCTTTACCCGTGTGCAGGTGAAGGAAACAGAAGAACAAGAGTGAACCCTAGGCAATCAGTTGCGTTAGTCAATAGGTTCAAATTATTCAACAGCAGAAATAACAGCGAAACATATACTTGTTTGAGTTGTGTTCATCAGAGCGCGTGAGTCAAAATGAATTATTTCTGAAAAATTAGGAGGATTCCACGGAATTGATCAAACTGGTAAAATAAGTAGGCAGCTGAAAACAGTGCGAGGAGTGTGATAGAGCTAGAAATAACCATCTGTTAGCACAACTTGTCAGAAGTTGTATCAGGACACACAAATTAGCTGACTATGAGTAGAACATGAGTTGTGGAAAATAAATCACTTCAGAATCCAATCGAAAGTATCTTTTGGATAGCCACAGGACTGAACTCGCCTCGGTTTTAAGCCAGTAGCGATTCAATGACTTAAAAACTCAAATCAGAATCAAATAATGGGAAGTATTTCGGATGCTTCCAGAAAGTTGTGAATAAAATTAATGAAACTATTTTGTTCTGATTGCAAATATGAGCCAGTCCCGATAATAGAATTGGTATGGAAAAGGATTTACTTCAATTTTTCACCAATCAAGTGAAGCAAAACCCTTCAAATCATTGAGATAATAGACAGTATAGTCTAAAAATGAGGTTTTCGAACTTCCGACTCCAGAATTTAAATCAGTCACAAGTTGTGGGTGGTCAAATGATAAATTCAACTCATAAAGTAAAGTGTGGGATTATGATCGCTTTATGCTACAGAAGGAAATCCTAGTAAGAAATACCGTATGACAACAAATTCTACGGGCCTATGTAATATGGCCGTAAGGACAAACTGTAATGGTTCCACAAGGATTTAGCACACAGATGCCGAATAATTAGGAAGGCCAATAAACTACCTGTTTTCAGGAAGCGGCATTTGTTTTGTTGAAACCTGAGTTAAATATTTTCGGTAAACAGTGCGATTAGACCAGTGCAATGTTCAGCTAGCGAACACGTCTCTGATTAAAGGATCAATCAATTAAGACAAAATGCCAAGGAGCTTGTGAGAGTACTCTGCGATTCGTCTTATCATCAGATATCTGTAGTCACTGAACTTTCGTCCAATATTTTAGGTAGTTTATAGTAGACTATTGTTCTTCTGATACTGGATGCTCTTATTGATCTGAAAACTCAAAGATGCAATAAAAAGGTTCGGTAAAGTGAATGTGTAATTTTTTTTTTAAAGATAGCTTCTCAGGCTATATTGGTTTCTGCTACTCTTTACTGGCCCCTCTTAAGTTTTTGTTAACTACCATTGTATTTGTGCTCACTGGGAGACTTTGACCCAATGGAAAGTAACGAGGACCATCCACTGAAACTACGGCATACTTTTACTTAACTTTAAGAGCTTTGATTCAGCCCATCCCCATTTTTTCAACGTTCATTGGAGCTAATTGATGTCCTTGGGGTGGCTCTCATCAAAGACGTGAAAGGAAATCTATCCGTCACAATCATTATTTCCCCCTATCATTGTCCCTCCATCCATGACATAGTTTGTACCTATCTTCTTCCGCCTCATACAGACCTTAGCAAGCGTTTAACTTACTCATCAGTGTGGCCCTCTCCGTCCCGATTTCCTAATGCATTTTCGGTGAAGAGTCTGTTCAACCTGGACGACACGCGGACGATAGCCTCGGTCTCGTTACTTGACCCTGTCATCGATAACTTTTGAGGTTGGCTTCACTCACGTTCACCCAAAGTATTCCAAGCTTTTCCCGATCTATGTTCGCTCTCTTCACTACTACTACTACTACTACTTTTACTACTACTACTACTTTTACCATCACTGCTACTACCACTAATCACCATTTTAAAGCTCAACAGCCCCTGACAGATTTTCCATTTCAGTAGCTTCTGAGAGGCTGCTTCTTGTTTCATGAACAGCTGTGCTAGAGTTTTTCTTAAATGAAGCTTTATTCGGATCGTACATTTAGGGCATATACAAATCAATGCGATTACGTCTCTTTTGTGTTCAGTTAAGTACTTTTGGCGAAGGCCGAGAAAAGCGTACTGAACTCCCCAACAAATGCGCCGACCATTTCCGGTCTATTCTGTTTCATCTAAGAAGTGAATAAGTTCTAATTGGAGACCAAATAAATACCATCAATATAATGTACCATATTTATATTATTATAAGACACACGATATCTTTCTCCGCGAAGAACGTCCAATGGATCCGTTGAGTGAAACGTGTTCAACATATAGCCGTGGAATTAAGTATCATGTCAAACCTTGACACTCTGGGCTCACACCTCAGAAGTCGAGTTGTTCATTTTACTTGATACATAAAAAGTAAAACGTGAAGCTCATGATGTTGAAAATATTGCAACACTCGGACAGGTGGCAAATTAGCACAAATCTGACACAAAAAGGACTCTATATCAGTGACTCAGCCCTATTCAATGACCCGCGAAATACTGAGCAGTGAAATCAAGGTCAGTAATACGGGTCGGTACACAAACTAAGCAAAAATGGAAACCCTGAAATCACTCAAAGGGTGCAACATTGATGTTTATGGACTGTTCCTTGGCACATTTCCTGCTGTCATGCCTCGTGGTTGCACTCCTAAATTATTGTCAGTCCTGGCCCGTAGAACTGTTGGTGAATGACCATTTGTCCAATTCTTTACTCGGGATGTACTCTAATACTCAGCAGCTTTGGCTCGTAAAAGTTCACTAAATGTCCTAAGCCCCAAACAGGAAGCTAGGCTGTTATATTTATATCATTGTAATTCATACTGACAACTGTGTTCAACTGAATGAAATTGATTTCGATCAGAAAATGTCAACAAATTCCACAAATGAGATGCAGTCTACGTGTTCTCATAGATGTCACTCTGGTAGGTCTTTTGATCCAATGTGAGTTTCGTGCAACCGATAAGACGAAATATATAAGCCTTAAAGTTTCATCAGTTGTATTTTGCTTTCACAAGCTTCAGTGTAGTAAAACACATGAAAGATAACATTGCTCCATACATTAGACATTTCTCACAAGTGCATATATTACCTGGCGTAAAATAATAGTAAGGTGCCGGCAACTAGTTGGGAAGTTTCATTGTTTACACTTGTTTGTGGGATAATAAAGAAACTACTCCCACAAAGGAAGTGAATCGAAAGTTATGTTTTAATATCCAGTTGTCTTTGATTTTCTAAAGAATACTGGTACATCAGAGCAATCAGCTGCGGAGGTAGTGTATGTCACAGGCTGCGGACTGTAAAATAAGACAGTCGCAACCTACCAACTTCTGTAGTACGCACTAATTCGCAGTGGCCCGGCGCATAAACTGCATGGCTCATTTCGAGATCCATCTGAATCTTTACTCCTGTCACTTCCGGCTACCTTCGCAACCATTTTATGCCATTGTGCTTAGGAAATATGACCCTTTCACTGCACTTCTCTGAATTGTATACCGTGGAGGAAGTTGAAAATGAATTTTAGAAGGCTTTCAGAGAACGGAACACTCATATTGAATAAGGCATAAGGTCGTACGTTGTTTTCTAATACGGAGAGCCAAAAATATGATTCAGTAATACGGATCAAGCGGTTAGTGACCTTGAGCTGTGCGCATGGCAGCATAATTACACTGTATTCTGCTTCTGATTGTGTGGAAAGGTAACAAAATAAACTAGTTCATCAGCTTAAATCTTTAAACTCTACTGATATCTATTTTATGCAGATTATGGATGCGATTCAAAATTTCGAAACAACATGGCAGAGCACTTTTGGAAAACACAGATGGGCAGACATGGCTAGTTTTTATTGATTTATCGTAATTCCATATCGTTATAGCTAATGTTAGCAGTTTCATTAGTGATTTGACAAACAGAACTTCATCTGAATTGATTTCGCTCATACGATGTGATCTGAAAATGATGTGGATTTTCACAAGCCTAATTTTGGTTAACAGTTTGCCTGGGATATATTCTGGGTAGGAAAGGAAAATAACAAAAAAGTGAGTGGAAATGTTTAATTTTGGTTTTGAGTACGTTTGTGACAGCTTAGTAGAATGAATTTTCAAACAGGGCCAAGGACAATTCAGGAAAAGTACTTGGACGTGAATCTTCTCAGCAATGTGTAAAGCCAGTATGCCATTGGGTTAACCTATTCAATCACGCGTAAAACAAATCTGGATAATAGTGTTTGTACACAACAGTTAATATCATAGTTCCTCCTCTGTCTAATCTTTGAGATGTTTAACCTTTTCGCAAGAAACTCTAGAGGGCTTTTTTCCAGACCTTTAGTTGAGGTTATGAGCTGGCACGCCGTCAATAGACAGCCTTGTCCAGTGGCAGACAGTATGCCATCCATCGCAGTGAATCGGATGCGAAGTCGGAGACAGTGAATCTGACAGCACATGAGTGGTTGTTTAGAATTGCAGACAGCCAAAAAGACCAGCGGGCCAATCACCGGTTAACAGTTGTCTGAATCGACCGGAACCTAACCAGCAGATCCGAG